CCACGACGACCACGACGGCAACCACTACTGCTACTACTACTTCTACTTCTGCTTCTACTTTTGCTTCTGCTTCTGCTTCTTCTACCACGACGACAACGATGACGACTATGACGACAAACGACTGCGACTTCCAGGACCACGATGACGGTTACGACGACCGGCTACATGAGGCTACATGTAGATCAGGAACAGAAAGGACCCAACCGGACCCGTGAGCACTCCTCCCACAACACGCACGCCTTCACGACAATGTGATCCACACTGCGTCGCCGGCAGCAGCCGCGCTGAGACCATCTCAGAGTATTACCCATGTGAGGCCGCAAAAGTGTTGAAGGCCCTTACCAACCGCAGCAGCCTTTTTCAAACCCTGCAAGTACAAAATATAGGATCAGATTCTGGCATCACTTTCCAGGATTCTGATTTCGCACGTGGGGTTTATGGCTTAGTTCGTTTTGAATAGCGGTGCTCTGAGCAAAGTGCACAGACTCTATGCAAAGAACAGCCTAGTAAAAAGCAAGTATTACTGGCCTTTGTTAGACTGCGTACGCAACCTGGCGTTGCATGGCAGAAACACTCCTGGCTGTCAAACATGTTCGAGCCGAAAGCCTCTGTGAATGCACAGTGTTCTAGTTTGATAAACACTTAAGTTATCGACGAGCCGTCACCTACAGCCATAGGATGCCATTGGCCGGTATGCTTACAGGATTAGGTAAATGTGTTGTCTGGCAATATACCTACCAAACATCTTTTCCTACCTAGGTAGAGATCCGAGAGATGGACCCCCTCAAGAGACATCTCGTTTGACCCCGCCCTGGCCATGTCTCATATGCTTCCTCACGCCTAACAAGCCCGTCATTCCACCAATGTATTCAACTTTTCAAATTGTCTCACATCCCCTGAGGTTGATGCCTTACCCACTACCTGTGGTGCGATTCAGAAACGCAGTCACGGCATGCTACTATGGAAATGTTGACCAGCGACAGAGGATTGTAGCTTCATGCTCCTGCTACCTTCTCATCTGTGTACCACACATACGGGCTGGACCTGTTGGTCTCGGCACCATTGTCCTTCATAGATGGAGCCATCCTGACACGGTCAAAGCTTTCGGGCCATCTACCAGACTCCCATCATCCAGCCATTCAGTGCACCATGGGACTGCTGCAAACATGGGGTTCGTCCGGCACGCCACCCATCTCATGTGACTTGTCATAGCCTGAAATGGAAAGCTATTGCACAGCTAAAGATTCCAAGAAGCGGGCGCAGGGCTTCAGTCAGTTCTCCAACCAGACTTAATATACCTGCGGAAGCCCCCTCGCCAAACCAGCAACCAAGGCGGAAAACCAGTCCGTCTGCGTGAATCGTCCCAAACCATTGGCATAGCCCACAGACCACTGGCCATCATAAACACCACCTGACGAATAGTCACAGGTACCAGTAATTACTGCTTCAAAAAGTCTGCAAGAACAGGTGCACGACTTGCGGCACAGGAACTAGCCAAACCGCAGTGCACCGTTGATCATCTACCGAAAGAATAGACCATGAGCAGGTAAGCGAAGTTGTCTCGCTGTCTGCAGACAAAAATGCAGCTGCAAAGAAGCGCACCGTTTGCAAGCTGCAGTTTGCCGCAACCCTCTGCCAAGCGATGACGCCACTGCCCCTTGCGACAAGGAGATTTAGGAGGCCAGCTACAAAAATCCCCGAAGGTCAGGGTTTCAGGCTTTGGGGTTTAAGGTTTCAGCAATTGTCAAAAGCACCCTGACTTGAGTTTTGCAGCGTAGCCCTCATTAACATGTAACTTAAGCGATTGAGTGCACGATGGGATGGATTCCGGAACCAAAATTTTGAGGTCAAACCGTGTTGCTGACAAATTGAGAATCCGTCAAAGAGGTGCTCCCAATTGCAAATCTGGAAGCATGAGACGACGTTGCAGACCACTGGATGCGTTAAAGTACTACCTTGTTCAGAGCAGATAAGAATACTTCTTTCCTTCAGGCATGGAGAGCGCGTAACAGTATGAAGAATCTGAGTGTATGCATGCCTGCACAGGAAGCCATCCACCTGGAAGGCTTGCTGCCCCGCAGCCCCGCATTCCATTAATGTGACGTCTACTCCAGTCAACGGAGTGGACCTGCCTTGTGGCCTTGTACACTTGCCCGACATACTCAGGTCTGATGCCGGCAAAAACTTGCAGCCGCAGATGGATGGCAGACTGCGGCTACAAACTCCAAGTAAGAGAATTCGCGCCTCAAATAGGCTGCCGTCGGGAAGTTCCAACAGCACTTGCACCTTCTCTTCAGCCTTGGCAAAACAAGCTTTATGCTAGTCACTTTATACCTGGTGCTTCTGGATAATTCTTCGTCAAACGAGACAGGAGTCAGGAGGCAAATCTGGCCACTTCTCAATACCTGCAACACGCTATCATAAGAGCTAGCTAGCAGTCGTCATTTTTGAGAAGTCTGACATGAGCATCAACCAAAACAAGGGAACCGATTCAATTCTCATCACAGGACATTCACGAACAACTTTGACAACCCCAGCGGCTCATTCAGACCCTGTTGAGCCCAGGGGCCGCTTGCTCCTCGGAGCCTGCCACTGCAGTCGGAGTTCGCGGTGACTCGACAAGTTGGCGAGTCCTCCAGGTGCAAACTCCAACATCAAGGCTTTTGAAGCTAGAGAATGTGGGGATATATGAAGCTGATGAGGACATTTGGGGGAGCCATGGGGAGCCCATTATGGATTGTGAAGGGGACATTTGGGAAACACCACGTGGATTTCGCGAAGCTTGGTCCCTACCCTGTATCTTCTTAAACTAAAGTAGCCTTGAATATAAGGATCCTGACGAGGGGCCCAACACGAAGATGGATGGCTTTAGCAAATTGAGCTCACCGATCCCCTCAAAAACAACTGTGCACCATGTTATGTGGTGTTTCATAGACAAGCTCAGAATTCAGACAGGTACCTGCAAGTGTGTTGGGCAGTCAAGCAGGACGCAACCAGAGGACCTAATACTCCAGATGACGGAGAGCGGACATAGGTCTCATTGTAAGGGTCCAAGATGAATTATCACAGGGATCCACTCCCACGGCGGCCCTAGGAAGACTCAATAAGAAGTGGCGAAGCAACGATTGCCTCCATGACTCCGTGACTTCCATGAGAATGATCATGTACTGCATGATTCCTTTTGTACCCCCAAATTTGTAGCTGAAAGACTGTAAGTCGTGAACGTGTTGGAACTGTGAAAGGCCGACTGATGAGAAAACTGAATTTCACGGCCGCCGGGCTTGATCCGCTAGCAACAAACCAACCAGGATTCAAGGGTCGCCAGTTTGAAGTTACCACATAGATTAAGCCTGCTTGGTATGCAAAGCAACTTCAATGCTGCGTGCCCTCAGGGTTCCAATAGCGCACTCCTACACTAAGGACGCGCAGACCCTCACAAACATACGTGGTTTACGGCACATGCAGCAATCCAGGTCCGCGAACGGCAAGCGATTGCCGGCGGCGATGTTGCATGTACCTTGGGAATTTCTCCGGGGTTGCAACTGCCTAGCTGCTGCCATCTCAAAACCATGCTGCACTCTTCTTGAGGAGACCAAATAGATCCGCTGAAATCAGCATGATACAACAAGCACGTCGTTTGTGTCGCCCACAACTTTCAGTTCGCAAAGTGCGACACCATGAAACAGAAAGGCTCGGTGCACATTTTCCCAAATTGACCTACAACATGCGACTCAAAATACAACACACAACTGGGCATGTCCCACCCTACAAGTATGACAGACCCCACAACCAACCCATAGTTTAGCACACCTCCAAGGAACACAATCGATTGGAACAAGGAACTCCAAAGCCACATGTGACAGCTTGCTCCTCGGCGACTGCCTGCCAGACGGTTTCATGTCAACAGTGCGCAAAATCCTGCAGAACAACTGCGCATTCTCAGAAAGTACGGTGGGCCCTCTCTATATTCCCAACAGCAACAAAATATCCGTTGTGCAACCCTAGAAGGATCCATAATCATTTTGATAGAGCAAACGTCGCAAGATGGAAGATCTGCTACAGAACCTCTACTAACATGCCTCACTGACATCACATTTTATGATATGCTTTGTTTTTTTTGGGAACGCTTGGCTTCTACGACGCTTCTCATAAAAACATAGACCACTCACCTTTTGTCGGGTAACACGGTTTGGCTTTCAACAAAAAGAGGCAGCCTCGTGATTGCCGCGAAGATCTTGGAGCAAATTCCTGTTTGCATGCCGGTCTGCGTGTCAAATTTGCGCTGTGGCTTCACATCGACATGTAGACTGCCCTTGCCACTTGTCTCTTGCAAAAAAGCATCATGTCGGCTGCGTTGACAACGTTATTGGACGCTTTGGACCAGGGGTTGTCCATGCACCTGTACAGCGCCAGCACAGAGGCCTAACGAACTCGGCTCAAAGAAACGGAGGAACATTGTTTGCATTCTGAGCAAAGCATGTATCAACATGAAACAAGGTGGCACCTGGCTGTTGATCCATCGTGTTCACGGCCTCGCAAGCAACAGCAGATTTTGAGATCAGCGGCGCAAAACGCAGGTAATTGAGGCCTTCACTGGTGACACATTGGCTGCATCCAAAGCCGGCACCCATTTCGAGCGATTCGAACTCTACAAGCCAATTCAGCATAATTCTGCCATCAGGGGGTTCAAAGCTTAAACGAAAGGACCACGTGTTCCAAATAATTATGTTTTCATGCTTCATTAACCATTCAACCAATCCGCATGAGCTTTGTCACTGTGACATGTCAATGTGGTGTCCATGCGCATGCCTACACGCCCGCCCAATCTCGCATAATTCACGAGATCATACACCGGGTCTTTGCTCCCAACAAACGTTCCATCATGCTGTTGAACTAACAGTAACTAAACAAGCTGAAATATCATGACAATAAAAATTACCAAAATGCAACGCCAGCAAAAACCTTGCAATTTGCTGTGTTGGCATGCAGCAGCTAGTCCTGGCCGCTGTTTGCGCAACCCGGGCTAATTTCCAACGGATCCTTCTTCTTCAGGACCCGCGCCTGGGATTCCGCGCTCCATGAAAGCATGTATGGTGCAAATCAAGTCATATCAACCGGGGCCAATGCTAGAAATTGTGCTCTTGCTGTTTCCTGGCACTGTTGTTTTGCTGATATGGAAGACATAGAAGACGAACTGGCCGATGCCGAAGAAATCGGCCGACGTATTTCCGGAACGATTGAGGTTTGGACTACTTGGCAACCGAAGTGTAACACACTTGCTTGATGAAGCTTTCGCGTTTAGTAGATGCCACTGCCTCATCACCACGCGCAGCAACCACTAACTGAAGGTGTCGGGACTCGCCGCAGGAACCGTGTTTTTCCAGTATCCCACAGCATTCTCCACAAAGTCCAAGACGATAATCTGCGCACCAGATTGTTTGACTCCCTCCTGGCGAACATTTATCTCTTCATTCTCGCAGCTGCATCATCCGCTTGGTGTTGGGAAGGTTACACAAAGGTCGCAAGCTCAAATCGCGTATTTAATACTGAGTAGCACGGCAAAACCTTGCGCGTGCGTGCGCGCATGAAGTTTGCGATCGCAAGCCTATCGAGTATAAGTCTCATGGTCCGACTGCGTTGCCAAACACTTTCTACTGATGGTTGTACGGCTAGGATGGATGCAGAAAAAAAAACATCCAGATCTTGACAACAAAACGGTCGCCATGTTTGGGAAATACTCGCCTTCGAGCCACTGCCTATCCCACCATGCAGCCGGCTGGGATAAACATGAACATTGCGCTCGGCTTCTTGCGTCCTATACTGCTGGTTGCGTCGCTTTTCCCAAACTAGCCGGACTAGCACGGTGTTTTATTGTATCCTCTGGTCTACACAACGGCTCCTTCCCCACCTCAGTCACCGGTGTTCCCCAAAATCCC